GACTGGACGTAACTGATCGATGCTTGGTGGGTGAGACTTAGGAAGTGGAACAACAACAGCTTCCTTCCACTCCCGTGGCACTATGCCTTCATACAGAGATTCGTTAAAGATATTCGCGATCGGCGTGCAGAGTTCGTATGCAAACTCTTTCAGTAGGACGCCGTTTATTCCATCCGGCCCAGGTGATTTCTTCACCTTCACTTGTAACAGTTTGTTGTACACCTCCCATGGAAGAACTGTGGGGGGAGCGCGTGACGGAAGAAACGCTGGTAGCTTGGTGACGTCAAGCGGTGGTAGGGATGTTGTGATGTCGGTGAACTTGTTGTTGATGATATTTGCAATATCACTCGGGGTGTCAGGTACACCTTGCACTCTTACCACCATCTCTTTCCTCTGTGTGCCGGTGAGAACTTTTAGCTCCTTATACCAAGCACTGGGATTTTGTCTTCTTTAGTTTCTGAACTCTGTTGCTGTAGAACTCACTTTTTGGCCCTTTTAATTGCTCTTTGGACTTTATTGCGAAGTGTTCGCCATGTTACCCAGTCCTGACCCTCGAACGCGCGCTGACGGAGCTTGATCGCGGTCTTGATCACTGGTGACATCCATGGTTTGTCTTGGATGTGAGTCTTCATTACTTTGATGGGGAAGTATGTATCGATTGCATGGGTTAAAATCCTGTAGAAGGCCGATGTTTTGTTCTGTGTTCCCCGTGCCTCCAAGACTTCTTCCCACTGATACTGGGTTATCCACTGACCGAACGATCGGATGTTGGACTCCATCATAGGTCGTACCTGACGTTTTGTAGTCTTGTTAAAGACCTTCTGGTGTTTGGGGTTCAGTAGAATCACGTTATGGTCACTGCGCCCCAATGGCGAGGTCACAGTGGGCGGGTGATAGAAATCAGTAAGGTTTGTCATTATGAGGTCAAGAATAGCCTCGGATCTGGTTGGAACATTTACAATTTGTTGAAGACCATTGCCAGAGCACACATCAGACATGTCAATACGGTTAAAATCGCCCATAATCAAGTAACCTGCACTATCATATTGGGTTCTCAATTTGTCTATGGTGTCTAACAAGTGTTGCCTTAAAGTTTCATCACAATCAGAGTTCGGCGGTGCGTACACTATACATACGATGATAGACGAGACCTTCCTAGGTAGGCGCTTAGGGCGCAGCATGAGCCACATACATTCTAATTCGTCTGGGACATTAATGTCAACAATCTGGTGAGTAGCTATACCATCCCTTACATACAAGGCTACCCCGCCACCACGTCTGTGTTCTCTAGATTTAGTGAACGTGGTGTACCCATCTAACGACCAAAAATCAGTAGGGACATCGTCACTGAACCAGGTTTCAGACACACCTGCTACTTCTACATTCTCAGATAACAACACCGAGTGAAACTCATCAAGCTTGTTCGCTAACGACCGAGCGTTACATAAGAGAACTGATGGTAAAGTGTTCTGTCGAGAAATGTTCGGCTTATTTACAGAGTTCTGAGTGTTCAAAGATGGGATCGGTACTACCAGTCTCGGTCTCTGCAAGATGATCGCCGGTGAGCGCTGACGAAGACTAGAGCTGTCGCTGGACAGGACGCGGTCGGGAACGGATGCTCCAGGATTGTCCCTCAGAACGCCTCGAATTCCGGGCAGTTCCCTCGCTGTAAACGTGCCATCTCTCTCCAGTACAGGCTGGAATTCACCGGCTACTTTACATATGTGTGGATGTGGTTGTTTACCATCGAGATTGAAGCTAGCGTATTTGCATATCAATGTTCTGTTCCCAACAACTGTAGAAATCTTACGTTTAAAATATTGTCCAGCTTTAGTCCCTCTAGGTCTGCTCCGTAGTTTCCACAGTCCCAGGCTGAGTAAGTTGTTCTTGATTTCTGAGCCGACCGGGGCAGATGTCTTCTTCAAACCCCGAAGAAAATCCAAGGAGTACCGGACGATCGCTCTTGGGCAGGAAGCCATTATGCAGGACTCGATGGTGTCCAAGCAATAAACAGTCTAAAGTTGCATAAAACAGGTCCACACACGTACATAACAAGTCCGAAGGGCTTCAGGAAACTTTCGGACATACAGAATATTGCACTGGGGGGCTAAAAAGGTAATAACTTTGCTAAAATCACACACAAAACACGGAGCGACGTTTTCGTGCGGCTGCCCCGAAAAGCGCCACCTATCATCAAAATTTAAACAATGAATTTTGCACTTTTAATGATACCACTGCATTGAAAGATGGAATAACTGTAACAACTAGGATGAAAAGGACTGTTTTCAACTGTTCATGGCAAAATATGAGCATTTTGCAGTTGATTCTGAATTTTTATTTTTATTTTCAAATCAGAAAAAAAATGAAGCAGGCGAATCCGTTAACCAAGAAATTAAATTGGTGTGGCCAAAGGAACTTATTTCGCGGGGTCGTGTGGCATAGCGGTAGCGTGTTCGGCTCGGAACTAAGAGGTCCCGGGTTTGAACCCTACTTTGTCACCGATCTTTTGCCCTTGGGAAACCTTATACGACTCTTCTCACTTTACTCAGGTAAAAATGAGTATGCCAGAATGATCATTATCATGATCGTGAGCATTATAAAAAGGAAACCAAACCAAAACCAATTAAAAGTAATAGTCGTAAAATTGATGCTGGAGAAATAATATCATATTGAAGATGTTTTAAAGGGTAATATGAGGAGCAAATCATTAAAATAATTGGTCATTAGAATTCTGTTTTATATCATAAACTTAGATTCACCTTGTTCATGATGTAATTTTTCACCAAGGAATCATGAATAGATAAATATTTTTACAATGAAAACATATAGTGCCCATGGTGACGCTTGAAACTGTTCTTTTACTTGCAATTCAACATGGATAATACAGGACATGGTGGTGAGGTACTCGCTGTAGGTAATTTTAACCTCACCACCAGACATACAAGTATACAGTGACAAAATACATGTATACAGTGACAGACTACATGACAAAAACAACAGAGAACAGCAAATGGGTGGAAATGGATCAATAAATGGTAAGGAAGAACATGTTTTATAGGCTATGTAGGAGTTAATCTAATACAAACCGTTTAGTATTAATAACGTAAGTTTGGGTCAAAACTGTTGCATGTCGACCGGGGTATGGCACGACGCTGTGTCCAAGCTGAAGCTTATTTGCGCTTGAATATTTCATAAGGCGTATTTGCACGTCTTGGCAGCGATAAATTTTTCTATTTCACTTGATCTGACGTGTTGTATTACACGGACCGTCCATGCGGCTTGGCGCAGCGTCAAATGACACTACCATGTACGGCTGGGTACGTAAGGCCATGTTGATTTGATTATATGGATGACATCCACCGGGAACCACAAAACTCATACGCGCGTGCGAATGAAAAAAAAGTTTTGAAAAAAAATTGCTTTCATCATGAAATATACGTGGTCATCAAGGCAGAACAAATGACACAGAGCATAGTTTGGCGAATAATCTACTCTTCGAATTCATTTCTTCACATTTTCGTCTTTTTCATTTGATTTTGGTATTCTACCACTTTGGTATCGTTTTTAAATATTTTTTTTTTCAACTTACGGTACATATTTGCTAGTGTTGCAACTGTTTTGTACGATTTACATGATGGGTGAAAACCCTTTTTTGGGGGGGGCGGGGGTGCTGTCGAAAATTCATGCGCGCGAGGATGCCACCATTTACTAGTAGTCAAATCAACATGGCCTAAACGTAACATCAGGAACATGTGCAAGTATCGGTACAAAGGTTTAGGTACGGCATATATTAATTATGTAAATGAATACTTTATTTGCATATTTAATGTGAAATGCCATAATCTCAGCTGGGAATTTCATACTTACCCTACTTGGACGTTAAGTGAAGGTTAACATTATTTAACATGGTTTATTCGAATCAGGACCTCCTTTGCATATTTCATGATGGCATGTTTAGAATAGCTTTTTTGGTTAAGTGAAGTCAATGGGAAATTGAGTTTTTAAATTCCTCTCTATTTTGAACCACATATATGAACTGGACAACATTAATGTTGACATATCTTACGTTTTGTCTATACAAAAGCGCCACTTGCGGTATTGTAAATAAGTGCAGATTTTCAACAAAACAGCGGCAAGCAAAAACAATAGTGTGTGCACCATATTGAATTTCATTGAATTAGTAGCATTACAGAAATAGCGTTCCTTTGTCGCGTGTTTCATCAGAAGCCTGACTATTATTCTTTTGTCTTTAATTTTGTGATCGACTGCTTCATATATTTTGTAACAGGTAAATTATCAGGCAAATAACTGAAAAGAGTAGAAATCGGCCAAATAGAGAGATAGCATTCCAAGGGAGTTTCGTCTTGGAGGCAACAGTTTGCATAAATTTTGTACTAGCCATATGTGTGTTAGATGTTGTTTTGCTGTCGGAACTGTTTGTATATACCTTCCCAGCATTGTCGGGGTGTTCTATCAATTCTGCATTGTCGCACAATGATAATCAGTGTTGAAGAGAACGTCGGATAGGACGTTAAATGGAGGTCCCGTGTTTGGGAGAGCCACACCCCACTCACGTTAAAGAACCCACCGCACTTATCGAAAAGAGTAGGGGACCTTCCCGGTGTGAGTGGTTCAAACCTTACAGTCTGGTCTCGGGGTTAGCATCTTTGAAAAGGTGATAGTCACCTGTTATGTCAATCCTTCCACAAATGTGGTAAATCTTCATAAATAAATAAATAAATAAATAAAAGAGAATCTAGTAATGCCTGTAATGATACACATGATTTATTAAGACATTAGAAAGGTAACATTTCAAGCAATATGTTTAATGTTTACCTTCGCAAATGGTCTGCTCTGTTAGTTCTTACTCAAACACATTCATATATATGACCAAACATGAGTATAAATCCCTCCTACTATAAAATTGCAACATTATGTAGCCCAACACCAGTTACCATGGTGAGAGACGTCAATAAATCATGATCAGGTCATTGGTCAGGTCAGAGGTCAGTGTTTGAAACGGAAGAGGAAACGTACCAAAAACAATGTTTTCCTTCGGTAAACATAATAAGCAGAAAGCCTTTCAGACGGTTTACTTATACACCCTTACGTCATCACTTTTCACGAGGGCAGTCACGTGACCAAGAGGTTAAAAGGTCAACACAGGTCACCGGAAGAGAACCATTCTCTGAGTCAACTGCCTTCCATTTCCACTCTACAATTTTTGTTGCATTTTTATTCATTTATTTTATATTATTTATATTCCAATGCATACGTTCAAGTAAGTTTTGCCGTAGTGTTAAATCCATCTTTATTTTTTTCTTTCAAGATAAAGTTCAAAAGTGTTGTAGTCGGTTGCGGCCTTGGTCGTTGTTAGATGGGCCTGAGCTTCATCTCAGTGAGTTTGAGAGAATAGAACTGCCCCTTCCATTGTTTCCAGCTAACCCCATCTGCACTAGTAGACTGTTGGGAGCCGGCATGGTACAGGCCGTTTAGGTTGGCATCATGGCATCTGTTGTACCACCAGCCACCCTTGTATGTCTGAGCACAGTGGGTGTCATGGGGATTGTCGTTGTCTCTGTCCTTTGTTGAGAAGAACATAGAGTCGTGCACTGCCAGGGCATCTCCTAGAAAAGAAACAGATATGAGTCTTAGACAATAAAAAGAAATTGCCTCGCTATTTACAATTATTGCCTTTTTAAAGTGCTCATGACACCAAAATATGACCTTAGCTGATTGTAAGTTACATAACTAGTGTTACCTGGCTAACAGACACATTTACAAATAAATATGTACGGTTCTCCTGTTACATTCGAAATTTTGATGCCCTGTCATGGAAAAGTCAGCACAAGCCAGTACTGGCAGGCGATATGTATCTCTACATTTTATTTTTGCATGTCTATGTTTTTTCCTAAGCTGATAGCACAGAAATGCACAAATAAAACACAGTGATGCAAGTAGAGACGCCCGAAGTGGGCAATTGGGAAGCTTGCTAGAGAGATTCCAAAAATCCACTTTTAGAAGGCCGTACAAGCTGAATTTCTCAGTCATCATGATTGGAACAAACTTCAAGTGACTATATACTTCCGATATTTGTATTTATTTTACGGTGATTTTTTTTGGTGTCATTTGGTATTTAAAGGAGTTGGTTTAGTGCAAAGCCACATGGACCACTATCTTTGCACTGAACGCTCACTGAAAGAGCATCTCTTCTCCCTTTGTCGGAAACAGCAACATTAGGCAATCTTGACTTGCTGACTCAATAGGCGAAGCAGTGGGTACAAAGGCCACTCACCGGAAAAGACCCCTACTCTTATCGATAAGTGTGGTGGCATGTGGATTGTATTTCATTATGTTTACCGAAGGAAAACATATTGTTTTTGCTCAGTTTCTTCTTCTTCTTCTTCTTCTTCTCCAAACAGTGACCTCTGACCTGACCAATGACATGATTTGTTTATGTCTGTCACCATGGTGACAGGTGTTGGGTTACATAATGTTGCAATTTCATGGTCTGCTGTGCTCCTTTCACCATATACTAGTAATACGTGTATGTGGATGTGTTTGAGTAAGAATTATCAGAGCAGACCATGTCCGAAGGTAAACATTATGCATTTGCTTTGCAAATGTTACTTCAGAATCTCTAGTTTATTGTATTTTACCAATAGATCACTCTCAGGTCTGAGGTCTGTTTTTCAAGTGTCCCTGGATTCTTTAGTGTGCTCGAGATGTGGTACTCCTCAAGCACGGGACCTCTATTTAACGTCCTATCCGTGTAGCCTCTATAGCATGCCAACACACTGGGGGGTTGTGGGGTCTTCATGGTCTTTGGGATCTTTTATGTGCTATTTTCTGATTGCATATAGACAACATAGCCGGCCTGGTTGAATTGCCCCCGTTTTTAGAACTGGGCTAATCAGAAAACTGCCGAAGACCACCAAACCCCTAGTTCTATAAGCCTGCTACGGAGGGTACTATATCCGTGGATATATTGGTGGATGTTGCCCAAAGTAACACTATGTTTTGTCTATTAAATGAATACTTGTGGAGGTTGGGTTCTTGTGTCGTGTGACTCGTTGGTGTGTACTTGTCCCTAAAAGTAGGCCATATTTTGGACATGTACATAAATTGACATATACGGCTATGTTTGAAGCTCTAGAAATAACAAAGTAGGATGTCATTTGAATTCAATCTTTACAGGGAAATACATACATGTATTGTGTATCAAATGAATACTTGTGGAGGTTCAGGTCTTGTGTCGTTGCTGTACCATTGTCCCTAAAAGTAGGCCATGTTTTGGATATTTACAGAAATTGACATATACGGCTATGTTTGAAGCTCTAGAAATAACAAAGTAGGATGTCATTTGAATTCAATCTTTGCGGAGAAGTACATATATGTATTGTGTATCAAATGAATACTTGTGGAGGTTGGGTTCTTGTGTCGTTGGTGTGTACTGTTCCCTAAAGTAGGCCATACTTTGGACATACATACAGAAATTAGCAAAAACGGCTATGTTTGAAGCTCTAGAAATGACAAAGTTAGATGCTTTTTGAATTCAATCTTTGCAGGGATAATACATAATATGTATTGTGTATCAAATGAATACTTGTGGAGGTTGGGTTCTTGTGTCGTTGGTGTTCACTTGTCCCTAAAAGTAGGCCATATTTTGCACATGTGCAGAAATTGACATATACGGCTATGTTTAAAGCTCTAGAAATAACAAAGTAGGATGTCATTTGAATTCAATCTTTGCAGGGAAGTACATGTATTGTGTATTAAATGAATATTTGTGGAAGTTGGGGTCTTGTGTCGTTGGTGTGCACTTGTCCCTAAAAGTAGGCCATACTTTGGACATACATACAGAAATTAGCAAAAACGGCTATGTTTCAAGGTCTAGAAATGACGAAGTAGGATGTCATTTTAATTCAATCTTTGCAGGGAAGTACATATATGTATTGTGTATCAAATGAATACTTGTGGAGGTTGGGGTCTTGTGTCGTTGGTGTGTACTGTTCCCTAAAGTAGGCCATACTTTGGACATACATACAGAAATTAGCAAAAGCGGCTATGTTTCAAGGTCTAGAAATGACGAAGTAGGATGTCATTTTAATTCAATCTTTTAAGAGGAGTACATATATGTATTTTGCATCAAATAAGGGCTTTGTGGAGGTTGGGGTCTTGTGTCGATGTTGTATACTTGTCACTAAAAACTAGGCCATATTTTAAACATTTACAGAAATAGGCATATACGACATGAACAAAAAAGGAAGCCTCAAAATCACCCATGTGATAGCAAATACTATCTATATGATATAATGATAAACACATGGGAGAAGGATGAGTCTGAAAATAAATTCACTTTGGTATTTTCATCAGCTTAAAAACAGCCCAAAATCCAAATTTGGGGACAAGTGCGGAAAATGACCTACTTCGAGGTTGCCCAAAGACTGGAATCTGCCTGTACATCAACTTCACATCTATTTCGTACAAGTTAATGCATTGGTCTAATAATATCCTGAAGTATTTGTCATTACTTGAAAGCAGTTGGCGGTGACCGCGTCCTAAACTTTGCCAATTTCCGTGTTGTAGAGACGCAAAAATCTGTCAAAATGGCCCCAAAACTTGAATGGGCTGTTGCCATGGCAACAATGGGTTTTAAGCGGAAAGAAGCTATTTCAGGGAGTTTTGGGCGAAGTACTATCACTGCAAAATATGAGCAAAATCGATTTTTGACCCTGCTCACTATTGTTTGATTATTACAGACAATTGCTCTTAAAAATGGCCTACTTTTAGGGACAAGTATACAACAGCGACACAAGACCCCAACCCCCACAAGCCCTTATTTGATACACAATTTTGATACACAATACATATATGTACTCCTCTTAAAAGATTGAATTAAAATGGCATCTTAATCGTCATTTCTAGACCTTCAAACATAGCCGTATATGCTAATTTCTGTACATGTCCAAAATATGGCCTACTTTTAGGGACAAGTACACAACAATGAAACAAGGCCCCAACCTCCACAAGTATTCATTTGATACACATACATATATGTACTTCCCTGCAAAGATTGAATTCAAATGACATCCTACTTTGTTATTTCTAGAGTTTCAAACATAGCCGTATATGTGAATTTCTGTACATGTCCAAAACATGGCCTACTTTGAGGGACAAGTACACACCAACGACACAAGAACCCAACCTCCACAAGTATTCATTTGATACACAATACATATATGTACTTCCCTGCAAAGATTGAATTCAAATGACATCCTACTTTGTTATTTCTAGAGTTTCAAACATAGCCGTATATGTCAATTTCTGTACATGTCCAAAATATGGCCTACTTTGAGGGACAAGTACACACCAACGACACAAGAACCCAACCTCCACAAGCATTCATTCAATAGACAAACATAGTGTTACTTTGGGCTAAAGACTTTATCAGATTGCTTTCTTTCTTTTGTAGATATAGTATCCTGAACATGGCTGAAAATCATATTTTCCATCAAATTCAAAATTTGACCTACTTCTAAGGCCAACCACGTGACAATCAAAGAAGTGCCCAAAGTTTGCAACCATGCATTTTATAGCACATATGTTTATGTATCTATGATCCAAATTTGAAGCAAAAAAAATCACCATCTTTGGACTTTCAGCACTTTGAAGTTGGGTAGAAATAACGCTTTTTCATAAGCCTCAAACACTGTATTGTGTTAGGGTTGCCCAGGTCCTTTAAACGAACTTCTTGAAAATTTCAAAGCTATTCTAGAATAGCGGATTAGTTGGTCTTTTAGGCCCATACTTTGTTTTTCCATAATATTAAAGCAATTGCTCGTAATCGTGGCTTAAACTATGCCAAATTTCATGTTTTTCACATGTCTAAATCAGGGAAAATGGCCCCGAAACTTGTTTGGCCCGTTACCATGGCAACGATCGGTGCTGACCGGAAAGAAAGCTAATTTGAGGGGTTGTGGGCCAAGTACTATCACTGTGCAAAGTTTGAGCCAAATCGATTTTTTGACCCCTGCCACCATTGTTTGATCCTTACAGACATTCGCTCTTAAACGTTTGTGAGGTCTCCCCAAACACGAGACCTCCATTTAACGTCCTATCCGAGGGACGTCCCTAAACGAAGGTAGGTACTCATTTCCACAAATGAAAGCTTATTCTGGTCACCTGCAGTTCCTGAGTATCCAACGGCGGTGAGTCTGTACAAGTGGAACTCGTTCTCCACTCTGAAGTAGCTGTATTTGGCGTAAGCTGAGTTTCCCTCAAAGTCCTCCAGGTCAACCCTTAACTCGTAATCCCCCTGGGCGGTCAGCCTAGCCAGGTTGTCGTTTCCTGTAAAACAATGGCACCGTCTGAATAGCAAAGTCCTTTGATCACAACCATTTATTTTTCACTAGCCGACGTTTCGATGACCGTCTGTCATCTTCGTTGGGGCAATTCTAACTAGTTTACAGTGCACTGACGCTAGATGTTACTTGGTGCATAGTGCACTAAAGGTGTTACATAGTTCACAGTGCACTTAACCCTAAACAGTACAGCTGGGGTCCGCTTTTTTTTTCTAAAGATTTTTTTCTGAAATTTTAGGTAATTGTCACCCACAAAGTTGTCTCTCAATACAGTGCAGAAAACTCCGTTTCTACCATTTATAAAAAAAATTATATCTGATTTTCTTTTGGGGTCCGCGCGGACCCCAGCCGGCTTTCGATCATAATGGATACACTGGCGTTCTTATACATTACCTTATTTCCGTTTTTATATGTTTTTATGCACTCATCGTATGTCTACCAAGTTTTCAGAGAATGGTGTAGTAATAGAATTAAATTTTAATAACTTTGGTGTAATTATGACGTCATATGACGTCAGAGCTAATAATATAGACCGCCATATTGGATTTTGACCAATGACGTCATCAAATTAGCATATTCTATGCATATTAAATGATTTAACTTATATTTAACTATGTAAGATGTTATTAATGTTGGAAAAGAAGTGTAATTTAATATAAAACTCCAAAATTACTTCTAATTTAAAAAAAACTGCCTGCTAGAAACCCGTTGCCATGGCAACACAAAAAAACATCAACTTACTAGTAGTAAACTAATATGAACTTTTTTCCAGAGACATTTTAGGAAAGGTCTCCAAATTTGATACTTCTAGCGCAAGCCGTTTAGCCGCTATCTGAGATCAAAGTTGGGCCTCAAAAGCCCCTTCAGTCTGAAATGGGTTTAAAAATCGGGTATTTCTTCTTGTCTTCTTTTCTTCACCAAAAAATAGAAAAAGTTCAAAATGTATGATTTTTGTATGTAATGTGGACACAGAGGTTCCCACATTAGTTTGCAAAACAATTGAGCTGGTAGCATGTTGATAATTTCTAAAAATTAGCAAAAACTGTTCTGGGGTCCGCGCGGACCCCAGGTGTACAGATTAATCAGTCCGGGAAGGTGTTCTGTTGAGGGTTAAGCTAGTAACATCTAGGGTCAGCAAGTAAGCAAGTAACATCTGGCGTCAGTGCACAGTAAACCAGTCAGAATTGCCCTGATGAAGATGACAGACTGTCATGGAAACGTCGGCTCGTGAAAAAAAAATGGTTGTGATTAAAAAAAATGCTATTCATTCGTTTACCAACCCGATGAAATTGTTTACGGAATGGCACCGTCTATTTAGAAGTCTGATATAGAATAACTGTTCGTGCAGGTGGCATTCATAATCAGTCGCGTCAATGTCATTAAAGGCGTCGAATACAATGTCAGAGAGGCAAAACCACAAAAAATTCTGGATGAGAAAATTTATCTAATAATTCCATTTCTTAGAACATTTTTGTAATGATTTCATACTTTTGTTATATATTAAGCTTTTGAAATAGCCCATAAGCGAGCTAAATTAAAGAAGAACTTTATTGACACAACAAAAGTACAGCGACTTTTGTAAGGTCTAAAACATGTAGATATACAGACAAATATACACGGGTACAACGAAAATATCCTACGTACAGAACAATATATGGGTCAACTAATACTACTTGTTCTAAGGTTTAAACATTCTTTGATATATTTACCTATTTGTACACAGTAAGGGTTATTGCCTTCTAGGATGAACTTAAATTTATCTATAGCATGAAATGTAACAAATTCTGTTGAGCAAGCAGAGAGAAGGTTGAACAGCTTTGTGCGTTTATCATTATATAGTGTAAATTAAGTCTCCTTATTGTTTTGTATCACCACTCACTAGTAAAAATAACTGTTTTCCGACAGCGACATCTTATTTTTGCCACCCGTTATGGGATAGGGTTAATTCAATTTTAAGAATACATCACAAGAATGACAAGGCTTTGAAAATCCAGTTTTGCCGCCTTAAAATTGGCTCTGACTGGTCTTTTTTTACTTTCGTCCCATTCCTATTCCACCAAATCCATAACTTACCCAGCCAGAACTCTCCCCTCAGGTCCCCAAACCCTGTCTTGTAGGCCTGCCAGTCCCGGAAGAAGTCCTCTGAGCCGTCCTGTCGCTTTTGAAAGACCTGAAATACACAATATGTTGTCACTGTCCTGCTGGCATTTTTTGCACAATGTTTTTCAATAATTTGTTGTCTTAATCAGGTCATAGGGGTTCACAGGCTACAAATGCGCCACCCCCCAAAACGCATGAAAAGTAGGCTAGTTTAGTACCGTCCATCCACCCCCATCCGTGTCCATGTCACAGTAGACGTGAATTGGAGTCCTCCCCCCTCCGTCTGGGTAGATGGTATAGACCCCACTGGTGGTGTGGCCGGTGTTGAACACTTCCTGACAGTCACGAGCAGCGTTCACTTGGTCTGCAAAAAAAGGCACTTTTTTCTCATTGCCTCCGGGGTAGGATATATCCTTCCGCGGAAGGGTTTTGTGGGAGATGTAGATTTTCACGTTCGCAGCTGTTTCTAGCGTTTGGGTGGACGGATTCTTTTGGGACTCGGTATATGTTTTGCTATTGGGCACATTCTTTTTTCTTTACTCGAAACAGTGGTCAGCATGGCAGCAGTACATAAAAAAAGAATTATGGACTGCTGAATTGTGCTGACCTTACATTATAATACATAAAAATACAACGTAGGTACGAAGAAAACATACAGATTCACCACAATTACAATATGTACAATACATAAAAACTAAGTCTGCATTTGACTGTTATAGAGTCTGATTGGGTCTGACTGAATTCTGCAGTCTGGAGGTTGAACTTGTCTAGAAATCTGCATATTTCAAAATTTTATAATTTGGGACTAATACTTTTAGCGGCATTCAGCCCAAAATGACCAGTAATTTGACCATATTTGGCAAGGGCCAATAAAAACACAGCATTCTATATGTGATGGGCTTATTGGCCAATTCAGGAGGAAGTTCTTCCTGATTGGCCTTGGGACACTTGTACCAGCTGCAACATATTGACAGTATATAGGAACTGCATTGGGTGGTCATAAGAACTGGATTTGGTTCCTAACCGGGGCCCGGTCGGGCTGCTTGTGTGATTGACGAAAAATAAATAATTCACATCAAGAACATATACATATATA